AAGAAAGAAAAAGAAAAAGAAAACTTTTGCTACCTATGAGACCAAATGTATATGGAACATCAGGACCAACTTCAGGGGGAGTTTTGAACCAGAAAATCCTGGTTGCTTGGCCATAGCCAAGACCCACCTGGTAGTAGTACTTCGTATCAAACTGCAACAAATTAATTAAATCATAATCAGATATTAATGTTACAATTCTAAAAGACATAAAGTCTGGTGTTAGTAGGAGGCGTAAAGGAGTGAAGCTCGAGCTCGGACTTGAACATTTATCGAGTCACAAACGAGATCAAAATTAACGAACCCAACTCGAGCAGAGCTAAATAAAATCAAATATAAATTCTTCTTTTCAAGCCTTAACAAGAAAACATGTTGATCCGAGCTCACAGTCAGCTTGTTTCATTTAGGTACACTACAAAAAAAACACTACAATTCCAACGAAAAATTCCAACGGTAAAAATTTCCGTTTTCCAACAAACGTAATTTTATGTTGGAATAAGTGTTGGATAGTTAAGGAATTCCAACGGATTTTTTTCTGTTGGAATAGCTGTAGGAATTTATTTCCATAGGATTTTCCGTTGGATATTTGCTATTCCAACGGTCGTTTTTCCAACAGATTTTTATACGTAGGAATATCCGTTGGAATAGCTATTCCAACGGAATATAAAAAATTCCAACGGAAAATTTTCATTGGAATGTAAGAGTTTTTTTGTAGTGGTATTAGGCAGTAATATTTTCTTTCAACATATAAACATTTTTTCAAATTGAAATGTCATACTTTAAACTTAAAAGTAAACAAACAAAAGTATGATATTTCATAATATATAAGTATGCATTTTTGTTAAAAAAAAAAAAAAAGTATGATAAGTCGATCCGTCTAACAGTTAGACCACTAAAGACAGGCGTGTAATTTTGACCTGCAAGTTATCGATTGTGCAATGATGGATGTAGCCAGATGTGTAGTTGTAGAATTTGTACTTGGTGAGGGTACCCTCAGCCTTAAGCTTGTGCTTGGGGTCCGACTCGGGCTAGTATAAGACGGTGTTCGAACCCGATTCGGACATTGTCACCCAGGACACGATCACGGCTTTCCCGACATGGTCTCCTTGCATTATGTGAACCTTAACAAGAACACAAATAAAAAAAATGTGTAATGAATACTAAATTCTCATAAAATAAAGTGAAATTAACTTTTTCACCCCACTATGAAAAATGCATCAAGTTTTGATAAGTTAGCTTTTTCACCCAAGAAAATGTGAAATCATTGTGCAATAAATATACGACAATTATGCAATTAATATGCGGCAGTTATACAGTTCATTCGTACAATTTTCGCACTTTATGAGGAAAGAGCTAGGGCTAAATTGTGAAAGAAAAATTTAGGGTGTGCTTGTAAATAAATATAAAATAACTGAACTCATACTCAAAATCTAATTCAACTTTAACTCAACCCTGCTATGCTCAATATAAATCAATCATTCTTACGCACCACATCAAATTTTCACTATGCGTCCACTCACATGATTTCAATTAACTATCACTTCATATATTATTTATTTTCTACTTTTACATCAAATTAACTTTAACTATTTTAATTTAAATATTATTTTAATATAAACTCAAAATCTCACTAACAATTAATCATACCACGTTATTAAAAATTAACGGTAATTAACAAAAAAAAAACTCGTTATGAGCCTATACATTTGTATCTAATCACGCCCTTAATATTGAAAAGATCACCTTTATAAAATAATTAAAGATACAAGTTCAAGTGGCAAGCCTACTCATTTTAACAACAATTATAATCAAATTCTTCATTTTCGTATAATATTATACTGAG